TTTTTTTTTTTTTTTTGCAATCAACTCCAACACTTAAGATGTTTCGGATGCTATCGTATAAGAAAACTGTTAATGTAGCAGTTAGTTTTTTTGTTCTTTTAATCACTTTCTAACTTTCACAGTTTATGGGTACTTATTTTTGTTATTCTTTTCTTTCCTTCTATTCTACAACTGTTCTTCAAAAACAATAGCTTAAGGTAATGTAAAGCCTTAACTTTTGTTCACTGGAGTTTATCGTATTTGGACTCATCGATTAATTTTATGAATGTTTATTTTTGATGCCCAAATTCTTCAGCTAGGTCTGGTAGTTGCATACGACCATTTTTTTTTTTTTAGGTTGCTGTAACTACGTTGTTTGTAAGCCTCTTTTTTTGCTATATTATTGTCGTTTCTAGAAATTCTCAAGAATTTCTTGTTTTGTGTTTGCCTAGTGGCACCACTTCAAGTAAAAATGTTTATAGAGGGTAACATCGTTCTATTCCACGTTAGTGGTAAAGCGTTATCAATTTTATTGGACACTACTGATTGCAGGTAGCGTAATTGGTGTTTTTTTACAGTGTATTTTCTTAATAGTTTTACTTTTAATATGACCCTTTTAAGACTGTATGTCTTGTTCGGTTGTGTCAAATTACTGTACGGAACTGAATAAACGTATTGCCATCTATGGGCTAAAGTTATCTTACCTATAAGGTATGAATCATTTTTTTTTTTTTGAAAGCTGTTTAGGAATGATATATTTTTGCATTTCAAGTCTTCAGTGCAGTTGATATTATTTAATTTATTTTTTAATGAAGAAGGAGCTGTTAAGCTCAGTATAAGTTGTTACTACTAATCGTATTCGTACTATCTTTTGTGAAACTCTTAAAAGTCGATTTTAGCTTCGTTGCCATTGTAACGGTAGCTAAAATGGAGGATCAGATAATCAAGGTATGTTTTCAATCTTTGCCTTGTTATAGTGCTTCCTGTCTTTTTTTTCGTCTTTGTGTGCCAGCTTTCTTCCCTTACCTGACTTCGCCTTAGGTTTGTTAAATTTTCAAACCTTCCTTCGTTTGTGTGGAAGTTTTTTAATAATTGGCACCCGGCTTTTCTTTTGATTACATTTTGTTTTTCGTTTTTTATTTTAGCTGGGGATTTTGTGTTAAAAGGCTTAGAGTTCAATTGCTTGCAGGTTCCTACAGAACACGTATTTTTTGGTACGTTGCCTTGCATATGCTTTAAAGAAACGGTTGTTTGTAGTCGATATATATCCATGAATGTTCGTGATCCGAAAGACGGAAGTCTTATTTGCTTACAAATCGCTTTTAAGCATGTAAACTTTGTTAGGGTAAATTTCTGTTTTATTTCTTAAATGCTCTTTAAATATAGAAAAGCAATAGAGCAATACGATTATCACGAAATAATTAAGTCGATAGTTTTATGAGAGAGAAAAATAGTCTGGTTCTAAATAATATGTATCGGAAAATACACGTGTTAAGATATTTATTTTCACAACAAAGTTAAATACTGGTCTTGCAGGTTCTCAAACAGAGGAACAAGCACGGTCTTTTGCTGCATACTAGTAATTACTGTTCAAGGAGAATTTTGAAAATGTTTTCTTCTGATCCAGAGACGATTCGTCATGACTTTGATCCAGATAGCGGACAGTGGAGTAAAAAGTAATTTATATAATCATGCATTTTATTTCTTATACTGGAATATTATCAGAATAGAAGTCGAAACTGTCGGATAGGAAGGGTACTCGAGTCTTCTAGAACTCTGCACTTTAGTAATTATTTCGTGATATTAGTTTCCTTTGAATCTCTCTATAGTTCACTTTTGTATTTTATGCACGTCTTCTCCAGGTTTGTTAGGCTGCGGTGTTACTTGGTCCTAATTATTTAAGCATCTCTTAAATTTTGAGTTCTCGTTGAACTGGAACGGCGTGGGCGAGTTCTAACAATTTCTTTGGGTCTCCTCTTACGAAGTTCATAAATTGTTTTCTTAGTAAAAAAAAATTGCGGCTTATCTCAAAATTCCGGATTGATTTTCTAATACTCGTCGGTTTTAATGATTACCAAAGTAATCCTAGAGCTGATTCAGAGTACTGCTACTTTTTTGAGCTTTTTAATTGTCACGTAACTGTTTTAGGTTTGTTATTGTTGTTATCACCGGTTACGAAGCTTCTCAACTAGATTTACTTGAAAAAGTGTTATCTTCTGCAGCGCAACGCAAGGCTTCTTTGAACCATGACGAGACGGTCAAACAGACAGTTCCATTTTTCAGTTAGCTATTAGAGTTTTGCTCAGCTGTTGACTTCTTTGTTTATCACATTCTAATCTTCTCTTTGATTGGTTTCAAGAACGTTCTTTATTTAAATTTTCTTGTGGTTTTGAGTAATTGTTTTCCGATTTACAGTTTGAAAAGTTTTTTATTTTTTGCAAAGTAAGGCAAGGCTTTGACAGTAACGTCCTAAGTAGTCAATTTCGAGCTTATCTGCTGTTTTTGTAGGCGGGATGTCTATTCATACATCTCGTGGACATTCAAAGACTTGAACTTCTTAGGATAATTTTTGGTTTTTATTTGCATCTTAAATCATTTTGGATTTTATCTACATTAGGGGAGCGGTAGTTTCTTGACGATATATCAAAGACATTCAATATTGCACACATTTCACTGGGCATTTATTTACACGTTTTATTGGTGTAGTAATTGTGTGCTTCTGAGAGGCAAACTCGAACTGATTTGTTATTTCCATTTTCTACCTTCTTTCTGCAATTAAAGCACTTACTGGCTTTTTAAAACCACTCATTCTACGTTACTTATATGGACGGGTTTTTTTTAGCTCCTTCTTAGGGTTAATATTGGTCAGATTAAAAACGAGCAGGCATTTTGACAGAATACGCTCTTGTGTTTTAGGTAATACTGCCGATAATCAATATATATCACTGTTAGATAGTTTGTCTAACTGCAGAGGAGATGTTTCTGGTACTAATAAACAACTCAACAGCGACAAAGTTTACCAGCAAGATTCTAATGCATCTACTTCCGATTTATCAAAGTCAGAAAAGGTATATGAACAACCTTCTCGCTCTCTATTTCGTCATGTTTTCTTACGACTGTTCTACAAGTAACAGCGAAAAAATCGGGGTGAAAAGATCATTTGTTGAAAGGCGTAGATTCTTTTTTTAGTGAGTTCACTTATTGATTTAAAAGCAGATTACATTTTTTATTTTTCTTTATATGGTGTAGAAGGAAAACCTGTCAAAAAATTGCAGTACTAGCAAAAATTCTTCAAAAACGTACGCGATACTGCTAGCTTGCATTTCTTGTGTATAAGAGGTTAGTTTAAACCTGATACTTGCTTTTGCGTATGTCACTAAATGTAGATTTCTGGTTCTCGTTTCTGAGCGCATGTTAGGTTTAGAAAGGATAGGCGGTGCTGCTTTTAGTTTACAAAACAGTGGGAAAGTTCTTATACTTTTTGTTGTGGGATAAACGGGATTTTAAATTAGAAAAGAGTGACCAATGAATAAACTTGACGAACTTTCCTTCAAAGCACTAAGGGAGCTATATATGAGTAGTTGTTTAAGATGTATGTTTTAATTTGTTTTTGAGATAGGTACGTCTTCTTCTGTTTGATTTGTATGGTTGAGCTTGTTTTTTTAGTTATGTACCTTTTTTATAACTGTTTTCAATTTTGATTTTCAAATAATTTAATTTTTTTATGTGTTTTAGCAGGTGCGCCTGTATAATGGTAGTTTATGCTTGTTGTGTGAGTTAGCTAAGTAAAAAAGAAATTGAAGTGAGGATCCTCTGTCTGCCATATTTTGATTAGCTAGAAATGCCATTTACCAGGGGCTGGTGCCTTAATTTTTAGAGACGTTCTCCTGATACGAATTTTGAAGTCACAATTAAGCGTCTCAAGCGTGATGAGGAGGACTCACTGTTGTCACCTTCACTCCAGTCATCAAAGGTTACTTTGTTTATTTTTTCAGAATTGCACTTTAAAAGCTAAGTTTTGAACCCTGAAATGAGTAATAAAAGTCATAACGTTTATCGCAAGTAGTATTTTTATGAGGAATCGTATGAAAACAGTTCCTTGTGTTGCTTTAATGAAGAGTTTGTGAGAATATACTTTTGAGTTTTTTTCTCTAGAAACTTTAATTATCTGCCGATATCAAAAATCTCATTTGGCTGTTTTGGTAAAGCGCTGTTTCATTTTTAAACAATTGTTAAACAGGTACAATTCCTTGAAAGATTTTGGATTTGGAATTAATAAAATTCTAGCTGTGCT